ATAATTACAGCAGCTATCACCACCAGTTAGGATTTAAAAAAAAAATAGGGTAAGTGATAAGCCAACCAGTTGTTATTTATTTTTTATCAGTATCCTATCGGAAGGGTCTTAGCTTTAAATACTGCTTCCTTTCTTCGTACTTATAAGTAGAACCATCTTGTCTATTTGTGGTGATGCCAACTGAAAAGTGGAAACTGTATGGCACTTTATGACTTGTCAATCCACAGCTGAATCCATAGTTATTTTAATGATTGACTTATTTTGTAAAAGTGTGACATTCTAATAGCTGAGTAGTTCTTAGTAAAGGTTTTTCTATTTCAAGTTTTCCTATAGCACTTGCTGAAAAAACTAAAATACTGGTGTTTTGTTTGCTACATAAGCAGATTCCATTTGGAGGATTTTCAAGGAATAATATAAAACAAGCCAAAAAGATAATTTGAAGAGCAAGTACCATGAGACTCAAATACTAACAGAAAAAAAAAATTAAGTACCTCAGAAGCAGGAAGCCTACCAAACAGTCAGTGGGGTCCCTGGATGAGTGAGATGCTAAAGGAGCAATGAGAGAAGACAAGGCCATTGAGGAGAAGCTAAATGAATTCTTTGCATCGGCCTTCACTGTAGAGAATGTGAGGGAAATTCTCACACCTGAGCTATTCTTCTTATGTAACAAATCTGAGGAAGTGTCCCAGATTGAGGTGTCAGTAGAGGTGGTTTTGGAATAAAATGATAAATTATACAGTAATATGTCACCAGGACCAGGTGGTATTCACACAAGAGTTCTAAAGAAACTCAAATATGAAATTGCAGAACTATTACCTATGATATGTAACCTATCATGTAAATCATCTGCTGTACCAGATGACTGGAGGATGTCTAACGTGACGCCAATTTTTTTTAAAGAAGTCTCCAGAGGTGATCCTGGCAATTACAAACCGGTAAGCCTAACTTCAGTACTAGGCAAACTGGTTGAAACTATACAAAGAACAGAATTATCAGACACATGGATGAACATGATGTGTTCAGGAAAGGTCATCACAGCTTTTGTAAAGGGAAATCATGCCTCACCAATCTATTAGAATTCTTTGAAGGGATCAACAAATATGTGAACAAGGGTGGTCCAGTGTATCTAGTGTACTTGGACTTTCAGAAAGCCTTTGACAAGGTCCCTCACCAAAGGCTCTTAAGCAAACTAAGCAGTCATGAGATAAGAGGGAAGGTCCTCTTGTGGATCAGTAACTGGTAAAAATATAGGAAAGAAAAGGCAGGAATAAATGGACAGTTTTCAAAATGGAGAGAGGTAAAATAATGATGTTCCCCAAGGATCTATATTGGAATCAATGCTGTTCAACATATTCATAATGATCTGGAAAGGGTATAAACAGTGAAGTGGCAAAGTTTTCAGACAATACAAAATTACTCAAGATAATTAAGTTCAAAGCAGATTGTGAAGAATTACAAAGGGATCTCAAAACTGGGTGATGGGGCAACAAAACAGTAGATGAAATTCAATGCTGATAAATGCAAAGTAATGCATACTGGAAAACATTATCCCAATTATGCATACAAAATGATGGGGTCTAAATTAGCTGTTACCACTCAAAAAAGAGATTTTGGAGTCAACATGGATAGTTCTCTGAAAAACATCTGCTCAATGTGCAGCAGCAGTCAAAAAAGCCAAGTGAATTTTAGGAACCGTTGGGAAAGGGGTAAATAAATAAGAGAAAAAATCATAATGCTGCTATACAAATCCATGATACACCACCCTTTGAATAATGCATGCAGTTCTGCTCAAAACACCTGCCCACCTCAAAAACATATATTAGAAATGGAAAAGGTACAGAGGAGGACAATAAAAGTGATTAAGGGTATGGAACAGCTTCTATATGAGGAGAAAGAAAAGGAGTACTTGTGGCACCTTAGAGCCTAACAAATTTATTTGAGTATAAGCCTTCGTGAGCTACAGCTCACTTCATCAGATGTATTCAGTGGAAAATACAGTGGGGAGATTTATATACACAGAGAACATGAAACAATGGGTGTTACTGTAAGGAGAGTGATCAGGTAAGGTGAGCTATTATCAGCAGGAGTGCGGGGGGTAAAAACCTTTTGTAGTGATAATTAAGGTGGGCCATTTCCAGTAGTTGACAAGAACGTCTGAAGAACAGTGGGGGGAGGGGAATAAACATGGGGAAGTAGTTTTACTTTATGTAATGACCCATCCACTCCCAGTCTTTATTTAAGCTTAAGTTAATTGTATCCAGTTTGCAAATTAATTCCAATTCAGCAGTCCGATTTGCGGATATAGACTAACACAGCTTCTACTCTGAAACCTGTCATTATATGAGGAGAGATTAAACAGACTGGGACTGTTCAGCTTGGAAAAGAGACAACTATGGGAGGCTATGATAGAGATCTATAAAATCATGAATGGTCTGGACAGTGAATAAGGAAGGGTGATTTACCCCTTCACACAGCACCAGACCCAGCGGTCGCCCAAAGAAATTAATAGGCAGCAGGTTTAAAAACAAACAAAAGGAAGTCTTTCTTCACACAATGCACAGTCAATATGTGGAACTTGTTTCCAGGAGATATTATGAAAAGAATTAGATAAACTGATGGAGGATAGATCCATCAACAGCTATTAGCTAAGATGGTTAGGGATGCAACCTCATGCTCTGGTTGTCCCTAAGCCTCTGACTGCCAGATGTGGGAACTGGATGACAGAGGATGGATCACTCGATGATTTCCCTGTTCTGTTTATTCCCTTTGAAATGTCTGGCACTGGCCATTGTCTGACCCATTATAGCCATTTTTTATATTCTTATGTAAGTTAGCATATCTGTTAACAAGTTTTAAACTTGCAGTTGGGGTTATGAGCAGAAATAATTTATAAATTAGGTGCAATGTACAAACTATCTCCCTTGCCTTATGGTATGATTGATAGATATAATAAAAAGCAACATTATCAATATTACAATTAATTGTCTTCATTTTGGATTCCCCCCTCCCAAGTCTGTCAGGGAAAGTTATACTTAAAACAGCAGAATACTGAAATAGTAGCCAAATTTTACTTTTCTAAACTCTTAAAATCCATAATTTTCCAAAGGTATAATTAGGCCCTATTCTCCTGGAAGGTTGTTTTCTTAAATAATGACATCCAGGGAATCCAAAATACCCACTCTTCCCACCCCAAATAATGGGACCATAGAACCCGCCCTTACTGCAGTACTTTGCATTTTAGTTTGCACAGTGCCTTGCAAATGTGCGGGACGCTATGGTAGAGGTGCTGCAGAAATCCTAAAATGCATTAGTAGAATGACTGTTATAAGTTGTGCTGTGTGTGAATACATCAGAATGGTTCTTCCAAAACCAGTATTTCTATGTGGCTGCTCTAAATAGTTAAAAATGATGCAACAAACCATTTTCTGGAATGAAATCTCTAAAATGGCCTCCTCACTTAGGGCAGATGCACCATAAGGATGTCTTTACTGTACAGTTAGTCCAGGTGATTGGCACCCAGGTCTGAATACCCAGGTGTGAGCAGCCACTGCAATGCCCTACATGAGTTTCTGTGTCTTCACTGGTGCTACTGTCCCCTGTGTGTATCACTAGGATTCTGGGAGTATTTCCCAGGGTTGCTTGTACTGCAGGAAGCTAAGCCTCTGATTCTTTTCCAGTGAATTATGGGAGGACGTATCTGTCCCCTGGGCACACAAGGGGAATTATGGGAAGGGCACTGGAGAACTATCAGTACTCAAATGTCTTAGCCTATACCCTATACATTGAAATGTATATACCTATACACTGAAAAATATACAGGTTACCAGCCTGAGTGAAAACAGAACCCAGGCTCTAACCCATACCTCTATCTCTGCCAGCTATCATGGGTTCAAGGCATCACTAAGAGGTGTGAGAGGTTTGTGTGCATGGATGGGAGATGGGTTAGGGGCAACACCCAGGCTAACTTTGCAGTGAAGTCACACCCTAACAGAAGGAGGCAGCTGGCAGCATTACCACCAAAGCAGTGCTCATCAATAAAATAGGGTGGAGCTGTAAGAGTTTATACAAGCAACAGAGTTCTTGCTTTAACAAGAGGTCTGGCTGGATGAATCTATGTTGGAGGCCTCATGGCAGGGCTGGGCTAACTAGCTGCAAGAAGTTTGGAGTCCACCTTAAGGAGGGTTTTGATTAAGCTTTTACTACCTGGTTCTGCAAAACATTACTGAACCCTAAAGGTACATTTATTTTTTAATATCTGCCAATTCTTTTCATGTAAGCAATTTTGTCTAGAATGTCACAGTTTTCTACTGGAAATGCTGTTCTGGGAGAAAACAGAAGTTGACAGCTAAACAGTTTTTGTTCATGAATTTTTGTTGTTCTCATCTCTTCAATGCACTCCCTTCTCTCGTACCAACTTTCCTTCTACAGACCAACCCTGAAATAACCTCTCCACAAACTGAGCTGAATAGGACTATGTGATGGACTTAACCCTATCACACCTGGAAGGCAAGGGAGAGAACCCCAATTAGTCATGTGCCACACCTGGGCGGGGGTGTGATTAACTAAGTGCCTGGTGCACGGTAATACATGGTACTCCTCCTATGGGATAAGTGTACTATATCTAATGAACTTTGAACCTCTAGCAAGCCAAGGAGCAAGACACTGAGGTTGGAGAATCAAACTCTAATCTACTGTGTGGCAACATGGAGTCAACCCTGAATGGTATCTAAATACCAAAAAACAGTAAACAAAAATACATTATGCTTTCTTATTTCTTCCATTTAGAAGTTAAACAATAAAATTAGATTTGCCAATAACTGTAATGTTCTTATCAAATCATCTGCACAGTTCCATACTCAGACTTGGTGAGGCACTTGCATAACATCAGAGAAAGGGAAAAATACAGCAGAAATCCAGACAGGGAACAACTGCTTATAACACAGAATCATCATCTAAAGCCACTTGATATCCCTGATCAGGATTTTTCCCCCCAAACTTACTTCTTAATTCCTCCTTCTTCCTTTAGTACAGCTCGTTTGTTCTTATCCACAGTAAGGTTTAGCAGAACTCCACAGGCAGAAAAGCAGACATCTTGATGTTTGGCATCGAGCAAAGCAATCATGAACTTGTATACTGGATTGTACAGAAGAAAACAAAACCATCCTCAAGAAACATGGACTTGGGCTATACTGTACTTATTACATTTGTATGCTTAGAGGACAGTAAGAAGCATTTAACTGAAGCACACAGAATTACCTGAAAATGTTACTTGATGACATGTTGTAATGTTGCTAGAGTACTCAGATTGGATATCAGCCATAACTCCATAAAGTTTGAGTACGGATTCCCGTAATCCCCCAAAGGAATTCTGGTTGCCTTTTATATTTGTGTTTTTATATTAAGTTGGTATATTTTTACTGTTGGTTTTGCCAAACTGAAACTAAAACAATACTTCAATTTATTTTTCATTTAGCAGTCCTGATATTGGAATGAATCGTAGGGGCAAAATTTTCAAACTGTGATACCTAAAAATTAGGTACATAAATCCATCTTTTGGGCACCAGAGGTGTTGAACTCCCATTTACTTCAGTTGGAGCTGCAGGTGCTTATCATTAGGGCTCCATATCTGTCACAGAGGTCATAAAAGTCACGGATTCTGTGATTTTCCACAACGTCTGTGACTTCTGCAGGGGCCAGTGGGGCTGACCCAGCTGCTAGACCAGCCCCAGAGACAGCAACACAAGCTGCAGCTGCTCCGGCTGGATGCCCAGGGACCGCTGCTGGGTCCGCGGCTGCTCCAGCCGCCCACCCGGGGACTGCTGCCTGGGGCCACAGCTGCTCTGGCCAGCTGCTTGGGGATCACTGCTGGAGCCACTGGAGCAGCAGCTGGTGTGGCTGTCTCCGGGGCTGCTCCAGTGGTCCGTGGCCCCCCGGTAGCTGGTGCTGCTGGTCCTAAGTGCAACCCCCACAGGACCCCTCCCTTCCCCAATATTTAATCACAGATATTTTTAGTACAAGTCATTGACAGGTCAAGGGCCATGAATTTCTGTTTATTGCCCCTGATCTGTCCAAATGCCATTATAGAGAGAGGCGGTGTTGAGTTAAACTTTTACAAGATACTTTCTCCAAATTGCAAAGATCTGGCATTTGCCCTAAAGCTCCTCTGCCATGAAAAATAAAAAAAGTTATGAGAATGCTGGCATCTTACACCTCACCCAGAGGCAAAAGGGAGCTCCCTCTTGGTGAGGTTGATAAATGTTTTAAGATGCATGCCATAGATGCACACACTGTCACATGTGGGAACCAAAGACCCACAAATGTGAACCCTTATGAATACTTAAGCTGGAGTTTCATTTTTACACAGAACCATGGAGGACATCTAGTCAAAGTGAACTTTAGGAATCTGGGGAGCCAGGGGAAAATTTAAAGACTATTATTATTTTAAAGAACAAACAATTTCTGCGGGCGTAGATTTTTTTCTTGTGTGAAGAAAAATGTATTCCCGCACTCATTATCTAAGTTTTCATAACGTTCATCTAAATTAAACTAATAAATGCTGTTTATGCTGTAGCTATTGGATTTTTCAGTGCCATATTACATGCTTGTATGTTTCGAGTTATAGATGCTGACTGGCACAGGTGCCTATCTAAATAGCTTACACAGAATCACTACTAATGCAAGAGTAACTTACCCTTCCTCTGTATGATGAAGTCACAGATTTCACGGTATTGGGAAAGATTGCCAAAGACTCTAACAGCCTCCAGAATTCCATCCATATTGCTGCTCATTAGCAGCTTTAGAAGCACTATTTGTTTGCACAGAAACAAAAAAGGTACAGGTATCATTACTTATAATTTATATAGCCCCAAATGTGCCACTAGGCTCTTTACAGATACATTTGAGAATCCTGTCTTGAAGGGTTCTCAAACTAAATGGACAAAGTAAACATGGGAGGGGAGGGGGGTTGGATGAAAAGACAGGATGGACAGACAGAAAGGCGATGCTTAGAGAACATATATTGTTCGCTCCATTTTTAATCATCTGTTTAGTCAACACTTCCTTGAAAGGAGAAGTAGGGTTTGTGTTTTAAGGAGGGACATGAAGGGGACAATGGGCAGAGACACCCTGAACTGGCTCAGAGAAGAATTTCCAGACAGAGGAGGTGGATTGGATAAGAATAGTATAAGACTATACACATAGCAGTTAATTTGGCAACTGGGGTGCAGTGAAGTGGGTAAGTGGAGGAGTAAAATGAGACTAAAGCATACGGGTCTGGCAGAAGCTAAGTTGTGCAGGCCGTTGAGACTTGTCAAGGGGAGAAAAGCTGGTGAAGAGACCTGACGAAGGGCTATGCATGGTTGGAGTGATGGGCCAGGTAGATTATTTTGCTTTGTTTTTACTGTGATGTTTTGAATGGACTGAGGTGAGAATTCAGAAGGCCAAAGAGGAGGCAACTTCCATAGTGTAGGAGAGAAATGATCAGGACCTGGAAAAGAGGATTTTGCAGTGGGAACAGAGAGAAATGGAGGATTCTAAGACATTCTAGTGGGAAAACTGCAGGATTTAGGGACTGTGGGAGAGAAGAAGAGACAATCACAGGGGATATCAAGATTGCAAGTCAATCTCACCAGAAGGATGGTAACGTTGCTGACAGTGATAGAGAAGGGAGAGACAGATGATGATAAATGCATCCCTTATTCAGCTAATATTCCCACTGATGGCAATGGAAGTTTTGACTTTGTTAAGGACTGCAGGACCGGATCCTTAATGACCCAAGATCTATCAGGGATGTCACATCTTTATATAAATACAGTATTTATATTAAAAATTCAAATATTTTCTTAGTAACTAGTTCGTGCCATCAAAACATCTACATTTAGAGAGGTGGTACGGTTTAACAATAATCATTCAACTACAAATCTTGCTTCCCCATCAGCTCTCCTGTAAAATTGGACACATTCTAATGGTGTTATCAGCATTAAACTTCCAACTATCTTTTTACTCTCCTCATTTTGAAAAAGTGAACTTAAATGTACAGTACAGTTCCATGAAAAAATAATGTTTTTCCTGAGTACAACAGATTGCCAAGAGAGCGATTCTGATTACAGAAATAGAAACAGTAAGCTTTATATAGCATATGACAATTCATATAATATCTGCTCACTGGAGGCAAAAAATGGTTACCAACCTGTTCTAACTGTTGTTCTCTGATATGTGCTGCACATGTCCATTCCACAACCCATTCTCCTTCCCTTCTATATCGCAGTCTGTCCAGTATGAAGGAACTGAGAAGGGCTGGGGGCAGCTCTGCCCTTTATACCATCATACAACAGCACAAGCTAGCAGAGGGCACATGCACTGCCCCGACAAGGGTACGTGAGTGTGCGCATACCTAAAGTGGAATGGATATGTTCAATACATATCAGAGAACAACAGAAACAGAACAGGTTTGTAATTGTTTTTTCTTCAAGTGATTGCACGTGTCCATTCCACTTCAGGTATGCACGCACTCATGTACTGTTGTCGGGGCAGTGCATGTGCCCTCTACTACCTTGGGCTGCTGTATGCCATGTCATAGCACTAAAGTATATGAGAAGAGATCTACAACAAGGTTCTTTGAGACGAGTCCTGAAGGCCCCTCATTCTTGTCTGCAATTGCCACAAACAATTATGAAGACTATTTAAACGGTTTATTCCTGAGTAAAATGCTAATGCTCCCTTAACATATAATATATGCAGTCTTTCATCATCCTTATGAGCTTGAGGCACAAGAAATTTGGTAAATATATTGTCTGATTGATGTGGAAGTGAGAAACCACTTCAGTCAGAAATTTCAGATGAGAACATAGGTATACATTGACCTTGTAGAAGTAGTCAGTAGTATATACTGTAGTAGTAGTCAGCAGTTCAAAGAGAGGACCCATTAGCTTTAACACCAGATTCAAGTCCCAAGAGGGAATAGGATCTTCTAATTTGTCGATATAAATACTCCAAATCCTTCATCTCCTCCTGAGGTGTTAGCCACAAAGTATCCAGGCTGCTAGGTGAAGGGCCTACAGGTTGGAACGGAGGTGCTGACCATGGTCCTGTGAGATGATGTCTGTGGCTGGTGGTAAGAGTGGAAAACTAATGCTGGCGAAGCCACGTTGGAGCTATGAGCATAACTCAAGCATGATCCTGCTTGATTTTAACACTCTGGGTAGGAGTGGAACTGGAGGAAATGAGCACATGAGCTTGTCTGACCAGGGCAACAGGAAAGCGCCCGAGAGAGCTTCAGGGCTGTGACCTACTTGTGAACCAAACTGCTGACACTTCCTGTGATTTTGGTTTCAAAACAGGTCTAGGTGGGACTCTCCCACAGTTGGAAAACGAACAGTGCAGGGTGACGCTTCTGCTGGAGGAGGGGCAGCAGCCTGGGGCCCCGCCACCGCTGCCACTCCGGGCAGCCTGTGGTCCCGCCCACCACTGCTCTGGGCGGAGGGCGGCCAGGGCTCCCACGTACCACAGCTCTGGGCGGAGGACGGGCAGGGCTCCGCACCACCACCACCACCACTGCCACTCTTGCGTCCGGGGAGCGGCCCAAGGTCCTGCTGCCACCGCTGCTAGTCTGGGAAGGGAGTGCAGCGGCTTAGGGCCATGTGACTGCCGCCAGTCTGGGTCGGGGGCAGCCACCTGGGGGCCCCCTGCCACTGGTCCCAGACCACTGCTTCAGGACAGCGCCGGGGACCAGCTGTCTGGGGCTGCCAGAGCAGCCGCTCGTGCGGCTGACCCCAGGGCTTCCCCAGCTGCTGGAGTGGTCTTGGGGTCAGCCACACCACGACTGCAAAATTCACGGCGGTCACGGAAAGTCACGGAAGCTGTGACATCCGTGACCTCCGTGAACTATTCGCAGCCTTAACTATGGGTCTGAGACCTGCTTTTACTTTTTGCTTAGCTTTTTTACACTTTTTGTGTAACTGAGGAAAGTCCTCTAAGGTTCCCAACCAGAGGAGAGATTGTACCTTCTGAAGGAGAACTTCCTTGTAAGAGTGATCCGTGAAAAGGAACTGGGATGGGGAAATAGGAAAGGGGGGAGTAGAAATAAACTGAAGGGTGTTTCCCAATTCCACCATGCTTAAGACTCGCTAGTCTGAAGTAATACAGGTCCAAGCATTTAGATAGTGAGACAGCCTATTGGAAAACACTAGGGTAGGAGAAGTTGTCAAACAGGAAACTGGTAGGCTGTCCTTGATGAGCAAGTCAAATTGACAGCTTGGTGTTTCCACTCTGGACAAGCTGGCAGCAGATGAAAAAGTAGGCAGAAGTAGTCTCCTTTAACAGCTGCCTCTCCTCCTAGGCTGGCATGGTGGAAAGGTGTAAAAGAAGCATACTGATGAGGCTGTTGGGGACAGAACTGTTGCTTCTTTGGGAAAGGTGTATAAATGGCTATAGACTTAAGTGAACTGCTAGAGCCTTTGAGGCTATGCAGCTTGTAGTTGGTCTTCTGCAAAACAAGCATCAGTCCCTCAAAAGCAAGGTCCTGGATGGCTTGCTGGACCTCTTGAGGAAGACCTGATGGATTGGAGTCATGAACATCTGGGCACCGTGATGGCTGACACCATGGCTCTAGTCACAGAATCCACAACATCTAATGCAGCCTGAAGCAAGATACTGGACACCATCTTTTCCTCAACCACCATAGCAAGAAACATTTGTCCTATATCCTCTGGCAACTTGTCCATGCTTTTTAAGTATATACATCATGAGTTTATTAAAATAAATATTCAGAAAGTTCTTTTAAGTTTCCCCTAAAGGCCAAGCACTTGGAAACTCATGTAGCTCACAAACCACTTGAGGTCCACAATCCTCTTTCTTGTGTTCACTACTGCCAGTGAAACAACAAGCAGATTTGTCCTAACTGGCAATGATAAACACTGCAGCTAGTCTGAAAGCTTTTTTCTGCTGGCTGCTTCCTGTTCAGCAGTTTTACGTGAGTAGCTCACATGACACCACTATATTTTCTGGCAGAAAAACTGGTCTCCAGCATTGCCTAGGAGTCATGAATTGCCCTGTTAGTTTTCAGTGCACACTCAAGACTGCTGCAGGAGCCACCATTCATCAGCCCTCACAGGAATCTTCTGCAGTGAAAGAGGGAACCACTGAAACCCACCCCTCTTCATGGAAGGGAGTACGCCAATGAGAACCTTCCACTCTTCCTTTCTTTCCCCACAGAGAAGAGAGAGAACAGTTTGGTCTCATTCACATCCTTCCTTTGGATGTTGTTATACCAGAGATGACTTAACTGTGGCTCAGCCTTCTTAAGTGATACATTTTTTGTCTTTGGAACACACCTGACTGCAACACACAACAGGTATTTCTCAACATGTTTCCTGCGGTAAGCAACTGTCAGGCCCTCCTGCTACAAGGCTGCATCTCTCCTACAAATTACTTTGTTCAAACAGTGAAATGAAGGGAAGAGAGGAATGTGGGTGGTTCCAGGGATGGTGATGAGATTGACAACACAGGCTGACAATAACTAATTCCAGCTCCAAGACCACACCATAGGCTGTATTTGGCTTCTGGCCAATAGTTATTAGGTGGCATTGGCTCTAGGCCATTTCTAAACTTGGATTTTCACCACTGAACAGTTTTCTGCACTTCTGCATATCCATCTAAGCAGCAAACTTGTAGAACTGCATTTCATACTGAAATGCAAAATACTGTTAAAAAGATGAGAGAAAAATCTTAAAGCCTCATCCTCTATAACAAAAAAAACAAGGAAGCATTGCCTAGTGCAGCCATGGTAAAAATGACATCATCTTACTTCCCAGATCTGCTCCCTATATACAGTCAGTCACGTCTGCTTATGTTAGTTACAAATTTATTAATTTTTTTCTCCTGTTAGCACTGAGAGCCATTACAGCTCTGGGGGAATGAGATGGATTCCATTCTGGCTCATAAGACAGCCACACCATTGCTACCTAGAGAGGAAACGTGGCCTAGCAGTGAGGGCACTGGGCTAAAAGAATATGGGTTCCAATTCCTAGTTCTGTCATCGATCTGCTATGTAGCCTTGGGCAAGCCACTTCCCATCTCTGTGCCCCCCTTTTACCCTTTGTTTGTTTTGTCTGTTTTGACTGTATCCTCTTCAGGGACTCTTACTGTATGTGCAGTATCTACTACAGTGAGGCCCCAATCTCAGATGCAGCATCCAGGCACCACCACCACCACCACCACTTCATTATCACCATCATCATCAAATTTCCGGGCTGATGGTTTGATCTTTTAAAACTTTTTACTTGTAAATTGAGAAAATCTGAACTGGAGTTGAAAAAACATGCAACAACCCCATACTACTATTTTCACATTTTAGTTATTGAAGTTTTGAACAGCTTTACCAAAAATCGTATAACAGAAAACAATCTGGTGAGTAAGTGAATTTTTGGGGGAGAAAGGCTGTTTTTGCCAACAATGTAATGATTTCACAGAGTTCTAAAGACAAAGGTCTGGCATCGGATGCATGCAGGGATTCTCTTCAGCTATGGGGAAAATTTGGCCCTACGAAATTCCTATATTATACCACAAAATATTTTTAATGACTCTTTTCCACATTGCCCTAACATAATCAAAATACACATCTTATCCCAGATATTCTGAAGGAATTGATTTTTAAAAACCTTACACTCCGCGATGTGTAGCTTCTTGTGTTCGATTACAGAATTCCTCCCTTTGTAATAGGATAAATTGTTGATTGTTGCGGTAGCGTTGATCACCAGCTCCTCACAGTCATCAATTGACTTGTATTCTGATATTTTAAAAAAATATATACATCAGTCTTACCTTAGAAGATTGATTACAGCTCAAGAAAATTAATTCACAGCCCAACTGACTGTAGTGTTGTGGCACCCAAACTCTGTGCAAACAAGGGTTATATTGGTAATCTGCCTGGACCATGGAAGATTACAACTAATTTGCATCAAGTGAAGCAGATTGCCCTGCCCAAGATAAACCATTGTCTGCTGGGTAGTGCTGGACAAAAGAATTAATGAAAAATATGTCCTGATTTTCAACCAGCTCTAATATTAGGGGCTGTGGACTCTGAGGCCTGCACTTCTGTAGTACAGAAGAACCACAGAGTTACGAATATCTCGGGAACAGAGGTTGTTCATAACTCTGAAATGTTTGTAACTCTGAACAAAACATTAGGGTTGTTCTTTCAAAAGTTTACAACAAGCACTGATTTAATACAGCTTTGAAACTTTAGAATGCAGAAGAAAAATGCTGCTTTTAACCATCTTAATTTAAATTAAACAAGCATTGAAACAGTTTCCTTACCTTATCAAATCTTTTTTTTCCCTAAACTTTCCCTTCATTTTTTTAGTAGTTTAACACAGTACTGTACAGTATTTCTTTTTTTCCTTCTGTCTCAGCTGCTGTGATTGCGTACTTCCAGTTCCAAATGAGGTGTGTGTTTGACCAGTCAGTTTGTAACTCTGATGTTCATAACTCTGAGGTACTATTGTAATAGTGAATGGCACAGCAGGATTGCATTTAGTTTGAAGGCCACTTGGTAGCTGCCTCCATTCTAAGTGTATCTGTACTGAAGCTACAGCATCCCTAATACTATTACAAACAAAAACTTGTAGCAAAGATTTCATGAATGCTGGCACAGTTGAAATTGTTCTTGCTCTTAAACCTATATGAAAACAGGATGGAACCAATTTATAGTTCCAGCCATCATGCTGCTAGCATGCCAAACTATTCCATTTTTTAGCAAGATGAGTTACAGCTGCCAGCAGCAGCAAGTAGCTCAGAAATGCCAATAAAAGCTCCATCCTCCAAGCTCGAAATATATAGAACTCCCCTTGATTTGGATAATAGTGTTTAAAATATACTGGCATGTAAGTTTTGCAGATCGTTTCTGCTGTATGAAGGCAGAACCAAGCAGAATGTGCTTGCAGAAACAGGTCCTTAATTACCAACTTTTTGTTTAAAAAAAAATCCTCTTATGTAGGGAGGAGGCAAGAAGGCAAGCTCACTATATGAGTTTTCAGTCAGACATGTTCAAAAGAAAATTTCCACAGTTTACTAATCTTTTTGTGTAGTCTGATTTATTCTTAATAATCTGATCTATAAATCCTATCTATGCATAAGGCTCCTTTGAATGCCTTGCAGGAAAGATGCTGGAAAGTTTAGTATGAAGGTGATAATTCTGCTACTGTTTAAAGTAAGTTAGTCTATACATTGCAATTATTAACGTTAGCAGATTGATTTTCCTATTTCAACAACATGGCAGATTTAATTAAGGTTCTCCCAATAACAAAAGCTGAAGTAATGAAGTACTATACCTGCCTGACAGACTGAATGAAAATAATACATGAAAAAACGCACATAATATACAAACTTTACCTAGAACCGTAACAAGCAATGCCACAATGCGATGGTTAGCTGCCAGAACAGCACCTACACTAGGATGAATGGAGAGATTGGCAAGCACTCTAATAAGTTTTATAAGGACATCCTCTGTTTCTGAAGGATGCTTTTGTTTTGATTTGTTTTCTTCTTCTTCATGTTGTTCTTTTTTTGCATTCAAATCAAGTTCATTGTAGGTTTGGAATAATGATATCAAGGTGTCAGCACTTCCTTTCTCTTTAAAAAATTGTTCACGGGCCAGGTTGTTCTTTGCTGTTAAATTGCCAAGAATGAAAACAACACGGACAACTAAATCCTGCAATAAAATAAACAAACTCTGTTACACCGAGAGAAAAGTTGAAGTTGCTAGCGGTTTGAAAAATGTCAATATTTCATGTATTTCACAATTCAATGCAAATGGAAGAACACTAAATACAGCAAAAAAGGAAACAATCTTTGATGCTGTATTTGATTACTCAGTTGAGGGAAGAGTTTTAAAAAAAAAATCATCTAACAAAGGCACACAGTTCTAGTACCATAGAGGTTATTAATCATGGGGGTCTCCTAAATAGAAGTAGTCTATTTCCATCAAATGACCAACAACCCAACAGGATAATAGAACATTTCAGATGGATATTTTAGTTATGTAAATGCCTTGCATTTGCAAGGTTTAATCAGTCTCCCAAATAAGCAGAGGGTTGCTTTGACGGCCAATAGGGCCTCATAAGCATTCTACCCTGCTACTGCTGCCCTAGAAAGCTTAAGATTTTAAAGCAATGGAAGTGTCACCTGATGTCCACAAGGAAGCACAAACCCAACAACGAGAATTCTGTTCAGATGGTGTCTATAAAGGTTTATTTCCTCCTGGCATTTCTCTTTTAAATAAAGTGTGGGGGGGGGGGGAAGAGGCGCAAATCAAGAGCCAATGAAAAAGGTCTAGTCTGCTATGCCACAGACCTCCCAATCCTAATACTACATCTCCCTCATTGCCTTCATTTCGACCACCATGGGGATACAGCAATCTGTGCGATGCAGGAGCTGACTGACTCAGGTGTCATCCCACAACAATACCCCCAACTGCTATTAATTCAACAGCATGGGCTGGTTTAGCTTTCAGAATTCTCCTTGTTTTCTCTCCCAAAGATGAAATTACTCAAAAAACTGTCTCGACCCCCATCAACACCTAGCTAGTTTCCAAAATGGAAAGTCCAAGTACTGGCTCTGTTTCAACAATACAGGGAAAGAAGTGGCAATCCCGAGTGCAGCATAGTCAGTCTACCCCTAACCGTTAAACGACTGTACTTGCACTAAACCACTGCTTTGACAAACACCCTACACGTTGTTTTTCTTGAAATACAGGAATCCCATTCAGACACTGTAATCCCCCAAGGAATAAACCCCATACTTTATCAAGAGACATTCAAAGAATGGCAACTTGTTACTGTACATGTATTAACATTTGATAGAGAAATTTTTGCAATTTAATCAATGGATCATATATTCCTCCACTAATAATTTCTCCTCTTTTGAACCACTCCCACAAGGCCTTGCATCACAGAGATACATCTATGTCCAAAGACAAGAAAATGAGCTTCAGCGTTCATCACAACTACTAATGAACTTGCCAGGGGGTCATCAATGAGTGACCTCTAGTCTCTCTCCCTCACTTTGGGCTAGACACTCTGACTCTCTATGGCATTGCTCCCACTATTACTATTTTGCAAACATCTGAATGTCACCAACACAAGATACGTATAAACATTTTTATTTTATAAGTAACTGTCTAGAAGCTTTTTACCTAAGCCATCACAATCCCCAATGGAAGCCTTCCCACAAAGGCTACAAAGAATTTGTTGTTTCAAACAGTTGATGAATCAGAAGAGAGAAGTGAAAAAAGAAGGCAGTCTAGTTTAACTTGCTTTATACTGACTTTCTAATTTTGGTTAAAACAGTACCAGCTTAGCAACAGCTCTAGCCAATCAGGGAATAAACAGACAGGTACTGTAAAGCAATCAATTTAACTGATATTTTGAGAAGTGTGATCTCAGCTATGTTTTCCACCTACAGACTATGAAACAAGCCTACAAGATATTATTTCTTTTTAGCATAGCACATCCTGTTTTAAAAAGTATTACAGAAGTTTCATTACCATCCACTGACAGAGTTTAAATAACAGTCAAATACAAGAAATGCAGATGTGATTTTATATTACTTAGGAATTATAGGCTATATTTTTATGTATTTTTGGCTAAATTTTCAAAAATTTGCATGCCATAAGAACAACTAAGCTGAGTAATGTGAAACCAAAAACCACTGTTCAGACAGCCATGCATGGAGTTAGAGATGAATGCCACTTTGAAAGCAGGTTTCAGAGTAGCAGCCGTGTTAGTCTGTATTCGCAAAAAGAAAAGGAGGACTTGTGGCACCTTAGAGACTAACAAAAGCTTATGCTCAAATAAATTTGTTAGTCTCTAAGGTGCCACAAGTCCTCCTTTTCTTTTTACTTTGAAAACAGTTACAAGAATAAATGTACATAGACACATGGGATATTTGCACATCTGAAAAAAATCAGCAGTAGGCAGGGCTAGTATATAGCCAAACATTTGGAATATTTACTGAGAAAGCATGCAGGCATTTCAGGCATATCTGCAAATAAACGAAATACGTATGTATTTATAAGGTTGATTTATACAACACAGGTAGAGCCCTATGTGGATACAAAAATTTGGATCCACATCTAATCCGTGATCTGCAAGGATAGTAAACAATACAACCACATCCCCAGATGCAGATCCCTGCAGGTATAAAGCAGATATCTGCGGATTTGCAGGCCCTAAACATAGGTTTCAACAGTAAGACATATCTTTTGAAACTAGCGTGCACAGATTTAGTACTGAAGACAGAGGAACACTGTAATTTCTATTTGTATTGAAGCACTCTTTTTAAATTGAACAGGTTTGTCACAGCTATTGATTTGACAAACTTTATTTGATCTCTGTTAGAAGCTAGACTAAGGATGGGTGACCTATTTCTTCTTAAGAATTTGAATCCTGTCCCTAAAATGAACCCAGTCTGATTTGCAGGCTATATCTTTGAAAACTCATGGAGATTGGGGGAGGTCCCGGACGACTGGAAAAAGGCTAATGTAGTGCCCATCTTTAAAAAAGGGAAGAAGGAGGATCCTGGGAACTACAGGCCAGTCAGCCTCACCTCAGTCCCTGGAAAAATCATGGAGCAGGTCCTCAAGGAATCAATTCTGAAGCACTTAGGGGAGAGGAAAGTGATCAGGAACAGTCAGCATGGATTCACCAAGGGCAAGTCATGCCTGACTAATCTAATTGCCTTCTGTGATGAGATAACTGGCTCCGTGGATGAGGGAAAAGCAGTGGATGGGTTATTCCTTGACTTTAGCAAAGCTTTTGACACGGTTTCCCACAGTATTCTTGCCAGCAAGTTAAAGAAGTATGGGCTGGATGAATGGACTATAAGGTGGATAGAAAGCTGGCTAGATTGTCGGGCTCAACGGGCAGTGATCGATGGCTCCATGTCTAGTTGGCAGCCGGTATCAAGTGAAATGCCCCAAGGTTCAGTCCTGGGGCCGGTTTTGTTCAATATCTTCATAAATGATCTGGAGGATGGTATGGATTGCACCCTCAGAAAGTTTGCAGATGACCCTAAACTGGGAGGAGAGCTAGATACGCTGGAGGGTAGGGATAGGATACAGAGGGCCCTAGACAAATTAGAGGATTGAGCCAAAAGAAATCTGATGAGGTTCAACAAGGACAAGTGCAGAGTCCTGCATTTAGGAAGGAAGAATCCCATGCACTGCTACACACTAGGGACCAAATGGCTACGCAGCAGTTCTGCAGAAAAGTAGCTAGGGGTTACAGTGGACGAGAAGCTGGATATGAGTCAACAGTGTGCCCTTGTTGTCAAGAAGGCCAGTGGCATTTTGGGATGTATAAGTAGGGGCATTGCCAGCGGATCGAGGGACATGATCGTTCCCAGCTATTCAACATTGGTGAGGCCTCATCTGGAGTACTGTCTCCAGTTTTGGGCCCCACACTACAAGAAGGATGTGGAAAAATTGGAAAATATCCAGCAGAGGGCAACAAATATGATTAGGGGACTGGAACACATGACTTATGAGGAGAGGCTGAGGGAACTGGGATTGTTTAGTCTGCGGAAGAGAAGAATGAGGGGGGATTTGATAGCTGCTTTCAACTACTTGAAAGGGGGTTCCAAAGAGGATGGATCTAGACGGTTCTCAGTGGTAGCAGATGACAGAATGAGGAGTAATGGTCTCAAGTTGCAGTGAGGAAGGTTTAGGTTGGATATTAGGAAAAACTTTTTCACTAGGAGGGTGGTGAAACACTGGAATGCGTTACCTAGGGAGGTGGTGGAATCTCCTTCCTTAGAAGTTTTTAAGGTCAGGCTTGACAAAGCCCTGGCTGGGATGATTTAGTTGGGGATTGGTCCTACTTTGAGCAGGGGGTTGGACTAGATTACCTCCTGAGGTCCCTTCCAACCCTGATATTCCATGATTTGATGCCAATTAAAATAATTTGTATAAGTGAATTCCAAAAATTCCAGAAGACTGGGATTTTTCAGCTTGGAAAAGAGATGACTAACGGGGGGATATGATAGAAGTCTATAAAATCATTAATGGTCTGGAGAAAAAATTAATAAGTAAATGTTATTTACTCCTTCACATAACAAAAGAACTAGGGGTCACCCAATAAAATTAATAAGCAGGTTTAAAACAAACAAAAGGAAGTACTTCTTCACATAACGAACAAACAACCTGTGGAACTCATTGCCAGGGGATGTTGTGAAGATCAAAACTATAACAGGGTTCAAAAGAGAAATAGATAAGTTCCTGGAGGATAGGTCCATCAATGGCTATAAGCCAAGATGGTCAGGGATGCAACTCCATACTCTGAGTGTCCCTAGCCTCTGTTTGCCAGATGGTGGAGTGGACGATAGGGGATCGGATCACTTGATGATGGCCTGTTCTGTTCATTCCCTCTGAAACACTTATCATTGGCCACTGCTGGAAGACAGGATACTGGGCGAGATGGACGACTGGTCTGACCCAGTATGGCCGTTCTTATGTTCTTAAACGATATTTCTTTTCTTTAAGTTCCAGGAAGGGATGACAGAATACCATGAGTTCTTTCTTGTTCAATCTAATAGGCAGACGATAGGACACCTTTACATATGTAATTGTGCACTAGCACCAAATATGTACACACATTTAGAAGAGCCAAAGCACAGTGTACATATACTCTTCATTAACTCTTAACTTTGAATTGG